TAGAATTGGAGAAGTCTCAGCCTAAAAAGACAAAAATTGAGGTCAATAATGAAAATAATGATGATGAATATGTTTGGTTGGATACTAATGAACCTGAAAAAGAAATATCAGTCAATAAAGGTGAACCAATTAGTGTTGCAAAACTTTATGCCAAAAGAGAAAACACAATACAAAGTTATAAACAGCGTATTGGACTATTAGCTAGCACTTTATTAGAGAATCCTGATCTAAAGGTAATTTTACTTTTGTTTACGTGAACCTAATAATGTCTTAAAATTTATTCTAACCATGTTTGGTAGTTTGTTATAAATTATAAGTTAAAAAGTTATCTTAATTTTTATTTCAACTTTGAATTATGTATTTATTAGTGTTAAAATTATTTGGTTTTGAAAATCAAAATACTTGTTACTAATTATTTGTTGTTATTTTATTTTTATTTTTATATATTTCTTCCAAATCTTAGCTGTTTGTTTGAAATTTTATATGACTATCATTCTAAACAGTCCTAAAATATGTTGATAATTTTAAAGTGACTAATATAATTACTTTTAGATAGGAAATATTGCACATCTTTTAGAAATAATGGAAAAACGTGATCCAGAATTACAAATCACAATAAAAAAATTGGCAACTCTCACTTTGTTAGAAGTTTTTAAAGATCTCTTACCAAGTTATCAATTGAAACTGGATAAACATGAAGGAGTAAAATGTAAGTTCTTCATAACAATAAATTTATATTACATTTTGTTTTCTTACAATATTTTAATTGTTATATTTATTTTTTTTTTTAGTAAAATTGGTTACAAAAGAGTTGATTGGTTATGAAGGACAATTACTTAAAGGTTACAAAATTTATTTAACTAATTTAGAGAAAATGGCTAGTGCCCTCCACAAAAAGAAAGGAGATACTCGAGTCATAACAAATGTAAGTATTTTGTTGATTTTATTTCTATAAAATAATGTTAGCTATTAAAACTATTAGAACATATAATTTTAAATTGTTTAATAGTGTTGTGTGAGTGTATATCTTACAAAGAATTTAAGATTATATATTATTATAGTTTCCATTTTAATATTTTATTGACTGAATTGAGATTCTACAAAAATGTTGCATTATTTTCTGTATTTTGGAAAATATCAAATTTATGGTTCAATTATTGATTTAAAACTGTAATACTTATTAATAAATATGGAGTAGTTCTTAACCACAATAAGAATATTGTTTATCTAGTATGTTTAATATATTTCTAGGTTTAAGTAAATGTTTAACTTAAGATTTAATTAGTAAGGTTTGTCAATCAGTATTATTCTGATTATGTTGTGTAACTAATTATAATACTTTAGCTAGTTCTTTTACTTATTACTTTTCTATGATTTTTTTATTTATTATATGTTAAATATTTGACTTAATTGTGAATGCTGTTATTGTTGTTTGTTAGATATAAACTATTTTATACTCTGAAGTTTCTAGCTTTTTGGTTTTACTTTTATCAAAAATTTAAAGAACCGGGATGAATATTGCAATCAATTAATTGATGTAATTACTAATCTTATGTTTGGTTTTCAATTTATTTGCAATGAATTTTTTTACCTACTATCAATAATAAATATTAAATTATTTGTTTATTTTTATTTTAGGTTCATATAAGTTTGGCTGAAATGGCTGTTAATTGTATGTGTGAATTATTAATTTCTCATTCATATTTTAATTATGCAGTTAACATAGGTCATTTGTTAACTCTTTACTTAGATAACAAAAATTCTAATGTTAGAAAAAAAGTTGAAGAAACATTTACTAAAATTTTTAAAGAAGATAAAAAAGGAACTATTTCTTTAGTGGTAAGAACTTTATTTGTTTACATGTATGAGATGAAATGTTTTAATGTAGTTATTGTGAATAAATTAGTATCATATTCATATTTATTATTATTTATAAATAGATTGTGCGACGCATAAATCAACTTGTTAAGACTAGAAGTCATTGTGTACACAGTGAGCTATTATCTGTTTTACTTGCATTGCCTATTAGAAATGTAAATCTTGATAAAGAAAAAGAAGAGATTTTGAAATCAAAAAAATTCATGACCAGAAAACAAAAATTATTAGCTATGTCAAAAAAAGAACGTAAAGTAAGAACTGAATATTATTTATATACTGTACAATATTATCATTTAATAATTATTTTTAATTTCAGCGAAGTAAAATGTTAGATAAATTAGATAAAGAAATGCTTGAGACAAAAGCCGAAGAAAATGTTAAGAGTCACATGAACAATTTAACTGAAATCACTAAACTTGTATTTTTAATATACTTTAGAATACTAAAAACTGCTCCACGTTCTAAGTTACTATCTGTTTGTCTAGAAGGATTAGCAAAGTTGGTATAATAAATGCATTATTAATGGTTTGTGAAATCTAATTGACTGTTTTATATAGATACAGCCATTCAATCAATTTAGAATTTTACCATGATATTCTCACAGTTTTGGATTCAGTTATAAAGAAACATCAACTGAATGTTCATGAACAACTTTGTTGTATTAAAACTATTTTTGTCATACTTTCTGGACAAGGAACTGTAATCAACATTGATCCTGTTCACTTTTATTCTCATTTGTATAGAGTTATTCCTGAATTAGATTGTTGTTAGTATTAAAACCATTTTAATATAATAGAATTAAGGCATACCAATCAATTTGATTACTATCTTATGTTAAATGATAAATTATTTTTAGGTAAATATCACGATAACTTAGAAACTTTTCTTCGCACAATTGAAGCATTATTTTTGGTGGGTCGCAAGAAAGTAACTGCTAACTCTACACTGTCATTTGTGAAGAGAATGTCCATGTTAAGTCTTCAAACACTTCATAATGCAACACTTGGAATTTTAGCTGCTCTTCGGACTATAATACAAGTAACTATATTAACTATTTGTGTATATTTTGAATCTAATATGTGTATAATAATTTTTTTAAGGCATTATTGAACTGTAATTCCCAATAATTTTAATTAATACATTAAATATTTTTATTTTTTTAGACAAATAAGAACACAGAATCATTATTAGATGTTGACCCATCATATGGACAAGGAATTTACAATGCCGAATTACAAGAACCTGAACATTGTAACGCTGGAAGTACATCATTATGGGAACTTCCTGCATTACAGGTTAGTAACTAGTTGTTAGTCTGATTAAATATTATTCATAATATTTGTATTATTATTTTTAGAGGCATTATCACCCTGAAGTATGTAGATTATCAAAAACTGTTGCTACATTGACAGTTTCACAAAATAACCATAACAATCTAAAACCAGAATTAGCCAAAATGTAAGTGTTATGCTTATACAGTAATTCATAATATGTATCTGTTAGGATAATTATTATTAAAAACTAAGCAATAATATTATTTTTATTTTTAAATTTGAAAATTTAGAAATATTACTTATTAAACATATGATCAACATGTGATTTTTAGTGAATGATAAATTATGAATACTTAAATAATATGTTTATTTTAAATCTCATAATGTGTTTTAAAATAAAAATATGAAAAACAACTCTTTTTAATGACAATTTATACTTATTTTATTATTTTTCTTAGTCATAGATTTGATTGTATTACTGAGATAGAATAATAAGGATTTTTTTCAATATTTTATTATATCTAATTTGTGTCATTCATGAATTCATGATTAATATCATAGGAAAATGTACCGAAATTTCTTAGATTGAGATAGATGATCTCTGTTCGTCCAAAATACTTCTTATTCTTTCAATGTTTATAATTTATATTTACTATATGTCTGGTAGCAATGGTACGATTTTTTTCTTGAGGGAGGGTTAAACATATATGATTACAAATTAAAATAAATGCCATTTTTATTTTATTTGAAATTGGTATTAGTTTATTAGTTTAAAAAGTAATAGTATAATCCACTTTCCATTTGTTAAATTTATTAGTATTGTTAGACGTTGTAGACTGTTATCAGTTTATCACTGTTTTTTGTTGATTTTATTATCAATTATCTTAATATATAAGTGTAAGCACTGACAATTATTATAACTATATTATGCATTAATGTATAATAATATTATACATATTGATAATTTACATTTGTATTATTTACCTAATTTCTAAAGCCCTAACCAATATAAAAAAGATTTAGGGGAACCCCCTTCATTTCATCCTTAATTATTTCACTGTATACGTTATTATTTTATAGATCATTTAGTATTGCAGACAGACACTTGATTTATTAGTATTTTAACTACTTATTGAAAATAAACTTGAATTGTTTTAAAAATTAAACTAAAATGTATTATGGTTCACTTAACCTAACCAACCTGTGAATATAAAATTGTTATTATTAAGATAAAATATTCTTAATTAAAAGATTGTTAAATTTATTTTTAGAAATAACACGTTTATTGAATCAAATAATAATTTTAATTAAAAATATTCCTTGTCAAATATACCTACATAAATTATATGTCTTAATTTCAGGACGCCCAGTGAATGGTTTAAAGAGTATGATCCAAGTAATGTGGCATTCAATCCAGCAGTTATGCCTCCAGTGAAAGTACCTCAACGGATACCGGCACATTATCCAACTCTTCCATATTATGATGTTTTGGATAAAAATTACCCTAATATTGATTTCTCAAAAGATTTTTTTTGAGTGTATTTTTTTTTTTTAAATAAAAATTTATTAAAATAGAATTTTATTGTTATGAAATTGTTTATTTTTTCGTAATGTTAATTAAATAACATTTTGGTAACCCCTAGTATTGATTATTCTGCTAGTTGCTGTATGATACTGATAACAAAAAATGAGATTCAAATTCTTCTCTTGTGGCTAATCAGTAATCATTTAAGGTTCAATTACTCTTTTCATCTTTTTTGAGTTACCCAAAATAAGACTAAAAAGTACAAATGTGCCAAACTTAACTTTTTTTATTATTATTAATACTATCTGTGATAAATTACTATAATGCACAAAACAGAAGTTGACATTCCACCTAACGTTCGAAAACGGCTAATTCATCTGTTTGGACTTATTGAAAAGGAATTTGAATCTGTGTGCCAGGAAAATGTTGTTCTTCAGGAAAAAGTGGAGTCACTCACTGAGAAAGTGAATGAAAAGTACTTGACGACTGAACAATTTCAAGTAAATTCTAAACAAAAACCACCAACTGGTCAAAAACTTAAAACCGCAGATAAATTAAAAGCACAAACTAGTAAAATTGTATCTAGCTTTAAAAGTCCTTCAGCAGCTAATTGCCAGTTTGTGAAAGAATATGGTGGACACAGAGATGGCTTGTGGGATTTAGCATTACCTCGTACTGGACAGCCTGTCATTGGAACTTGTTCAGCAGGTATAAACTTTATAATATGTATTCAATATATATTGTCTTAACTCTTAAAGGTTCCTAATTTTTTTTACTTTACTCTTAGATCATACCGCAAGAATATGGTGTATTGAAACTGGTACACCACTTTTACAATATACTGGTCATATGGGATCAATTAATTCTATAAAGTTTCATCCTAATAAAGATTTAGCTCTCACATCGAGCGGTGATCAAACCATTCACATTTGGCAGGCAGCCGTTAATCTAGATAATTTAGTGAGTGTATTCTTATTAATAAAACATTTTTTTCTGTTATATTTTTTCTAAATTTTATATTTTATTTGATCAAGCTATAATATAAAAATGTTTAAATTTTTAGAGAGATCGAGAATCTGATGATACTGAAACTGAAGATGACCGAGTTGTTCCAATATTACGTACGCCTTCATGTACATTTTTGGGACATAATGGGCCAGTTATGGCTAGTGATTGGTTATTAGGTGGTGACCAAATTATTACTGCATCATGGGATAGGACAGCTAATTTGTACGACGTTGAAACTAGTGAACTATTAAACTCATTAACTGGTAAGTTATGTATTGATAACTTAAATGTCTTAAACTATTATAATTGTTATTATTAATTAATATTAACATAAAGATAAATGCTTAAAAATGTTCTAAATAAAAACAAATTGTTCATAAATAATGCTTAATAAATGATTCAGTTTTAATTTATATAATAGTTTATAGATTATAAAGATGATGTTAGTATATTCAATACTAGGTTAATACTTATTCTATTTAAATCTTTTTAATCTTATTATTATTATTTTTTTTTTTTTGTATCTATAATGAAAAATTACTAATTTGTAAACATTTTAAAATAAAATACAGTAATAATAAATTATAATATATAATTACATCAATAAAACCTCCTATTATGAGTTTTTGGTGACCTCTTAAAGCAAGACATGCCAAATAAAGCAGAAACTTAAACTACACTTAAATATAAATTTAAAGGCCTATAATTGATTAGTCAAGTCAACGCTACATGTTTCAGTAAATACTTAATTTAATATTTTATATTAACAGTAGTATATAAAAACTATGCATAAAAACCTTATATGTTTACTTTACTATTAAAAAAAAATTTTAATTTTTAGGATACTTTAACACTAAACTTCTAATACATTAGGAATGATAATTAAAAATATAATCCCAAATAAAATAAAATAAAATTTTAACTACTACAGGACATGATGAAGAATTAACTTATGCTTCATCACACCATTCTCAAAAATTGGTTGTCACTGCATCCAGAGACACTACATTTAGATTATGGGATTTTCGTGAAGCTATAAACTCAGTTTCAGTTTTTCAAGGTCATACAGAGTGAGTATTAACTTTGTTAATATTATTTAGTATATTTTAGTAATAATTAACAAATTACAGTACAGTAACTTGTGCGATTTTCACATCTGCTGGACTCGGAGGGGAAGATAAATTAGTATCTGGGTCAGATGATCGATCGATAAAAGTATGGGAATTAAGAAATATGCGGTCTCCAATTACTACTATCAGAGCTGAATCTGGTGTTAATCGATTTGCTATTGCTTCTAATGGTGTTATTGCTATTCCTCATGACAATCGACAAGTTATGTTATATGACATGACTGGACAACGAGTTAACAGAATACCCAGAACAGCTAGAAATGTAAGAATTGTTTTTATTAATTCACCACCTAATGAAATCAATATCATATTTATAATATTGTTTTTTCATATTTTACTAATCACTTTTTTTTTTTTTTTTTAGAGACATAGACGTATGGTAACAGCTGTTGCATGGAGCGAGGACAATCCATTTGCTAATTTGTTTTCTTGTGGATTTGATCGGTTAGCTCTAGGATGGTCTGTTCAATTATGTAAGGACTAATCCCTTATCATAAACCAAGTTCAAGTATGTTAAGTATTTAAGTATTAGCTTGTCATATTATATAAACAAAATTATTCTTTTTCTGTTTCCTATTTTGTTTGTTTGTATATGTGTGGAAATCCTAATTTCTTTCTATATAAACTCAGAATCTATTAAGTTAAATTTTTAAATGTATATTATATAACCATTGTTACTTTTTTTGCGTCCTTTTATTTATTTTTTGTTAAATGCTTAATAGTATAAATTAATATTTATTACTATATTTATTAAAAAGTCATATTATGTTGTGAATTTAAATTTAAATATTTATTAATTTAAGTCTTATTGTTATATTATTATTGTCATAAAGAGTGTAATTTAATAAATTAAATGTGACTCAGCATCAGTAAAATAAAAATAGTCTGATAGGAGTTACAAATAACAAATAAATATTATTCTTATATTTAATATTTATTCTCAAACACTTAAATAATTTATATTATTTATAAGAAATAACATTGTAATTACAGAAAATTAATTTTTAACTGCAATTTCTGATTTAATTAAGTAATAATATATATATATATTAATTGTGTTATGACAATTTTATAAGTTACCTAATATGTACATAAGAAATTAATTTGTTCCTTTGTTCTAAATTAGTATAATTAATATTTCTCTATACTAATTTTATTATCATTAAAATATGTAACTCTTTTAAAACAGGAATATAACTATTTGAAAGGTCACTGATATGCTAAATTCAGAGATATGGTTTAATTATACAATTTAAAGTGTATTATGTAAAAAAAATTAAAAAATGAATATAACTTTACATACCTATATGTAATTTTATATTACATATTAAAGTAATATTAAAGTTAATAGTTTAATTAAAAAAAAAAATAACAGATAAGGATAACATAATATAACAAATTAATATTATGTAAATGATTTCTAATAGAATTTAATCCATGTTACAGAAAAATTTATTTTTAACCACTAACTTGTAGATGAGTCAAAATTTTCCTTATAATATTATAAACGTTAAGATATTTATTATTATTATTTGTTGTACGATCAAAATTAATTTATTCAACTTTTTCTTTATAAAAAACTATTTTCCAAGAATTAAGTTGATACTTACTTATAACAAAAATTTACTTTAATTTCTTCTAACAAGTGGTTAGGTGAAAATCAAAGAAACAATATGAACCAACATTTAAATAATTAATATTTATTTTTGAAGATATTAGGTAGACAGGTAGTTAACAAAAGCGCTAAACAATTTTGTAACAACAAAATAGACTTCATTGTCGAAAATGACATTTTATTGGGAGTATAAAAAATAATAATAATAATAATTAAAATAAGTAAACAAGTACAATATTTATAAGCTATTCATAGTAGTTTATATGTATATTTTGTATATAAATGAAATTTTAAACCATAAAAATAAAATAAGTTATAACATAGCTTTCGTTAATTTACAAAATAAATGCATATTTATTTGATCAAAATACACAAAAAAAAAAAATGTTTAGAAAATTATTTTTAAATTAAATAAAAAAATAATAATAAATAAAAAATGTATATTATGCTTTAATAAAAGTAAAAAATAAAATAATAAATAACATACCACTAAAAGCAATTATAGCTGTTAAAAAATAATATGATTTTAATATCATCTGCTAATTTCTTTCTTTAAAATATTCATTAGGTAATATCGAGTAAACAAAATCTTGTTATAACTAAATGTTAATGTATCAAAAAAAAAAAAAAAATTAAATAAATAAATAAAAAATAATGATATCAAAATATGTATTGTGCTTGAATCTGCAATTGGTTAAGTTTGTGCTAAATATAAATGTCAAGCTATGACATAATACTATCATAAATATTTTCAAAAACTCAATATATTATATATAGAACAATAATTATATAAAAATAAATATATTGTAAAAACTCAAAATTTGGGAATAAGCTATACAAAATAATTTTATAAATGTCCATCCTATAAATAGGTATAACTAATAAACAAAATTAGTTTTTACCATAATAATTCCAACTGCATATATTATTAAATTTGATCAGACATTTTCTAACTAAATATATTCTACACCTTTACTAAATAGTAAATAGGATAAAAAGTGCGTTTTTTTAAGCAATGTAAATAATTTATATTTAATTTTATATTATGCTACTTTCAGTGCATCATTTAGTTGTTTAAAAATTTATTGAAAATGTAATTTATACAATTCAAGAAAAATGACCTAATTTATTTAATAAATACCGCATTTCAAAAGTAAGATAATATAAAATTATAACTGAAGATTAATTTAATATAACGTTTATTATAAGAGTATATGTTGAAATGTATTAAATAAACTAAAGAAATTCTTAAGAAGCATGGTGATAATAACTACTGAAATACATTTACTTAACCTTTTTTGATATGTATTAATATCATATTTATAAAGAAATATATTTTTTAATTTACATAAAAAGGTAGTAAATGTTTATAAAAAAAATAGTACTGATGAAATACAATAGATAATACTGAAATTTTACTTTTAAGATAACCAATGATTTATTCAGTATTCATATTTTTGTTAATAGTTATGTTATGTCACACTGCCTTATGGTTAAATCCTGACTATAAAAAAGCTCTTTCTTGATGTAAAAATACTAAAAATGTGATTTGAATAAGGAACACCTAAGGTTGGTCAAACATATTACAATTTATTTTGGATCTTATATAAACTAATACTACAAAAATTGAATTTCTATGCAAGATAATATGATTAATGATTATTGATTGTAAGATTAATATTTCATTTTGAGTCATTCAATAATTAATATTTGGTGTTTAATTTTGATAACCATCAAAGGTTAGCACAGTCATGGGGAGTAATTTTTATAATATATTACAGGCCAGAGAAGCTGTAAAAAAAATATATATGTATATATATATATATCTTAACAAAAAGAAAAACAATATTTATAGATCAGAACTGAAATTGACAATTAAGTAACTTTATCATCTTTCTATGAAAAAAAAAAATTATTGTAATATATCATGCTTGGCTATAACACGGAAGACTGAAACGCGAGAATAGAACTTAAATTAAAAATAAAACCATGGCAATTTATGTTATTAATTTTTATATATGATTTCTATTAATTTAAAGTAGACGGCATCGTCCTTTCTTCTTCTTTTTAACCTGTAAAGCTGCTCTAGTTGAAGTTTCAAATACTTCACGGACACCCTCCTTACTTTTAGCTGAACATTCCAAATAAGCAAATGCATTGATCTTTTCGGCCATTGCTCGCCCTTCTTCTGGCCTCACAGGCTCTTGTTTCATTTTGCTCAGCTCACGAATTGTATTGGGATCATTACGCAAGTCTTTTTTGTTACCGACCAGTATAATCGGCACATTTGGACAGAAATGTTTTACCTCTGGTGTCCATTTCTCTGGGATATTCTCTAATGAATCTGGTGAATCTATGGAGAAACACATAAGGATAACATCCGTGTCAGGATACGACAATGGTCTTAGTCTATCATAATCTTCTTGACCCGCTGTATCCCACAGTGCTAGTTCTACTTGTTTGCCATCGACTTCTATATCAGCTACATAGTTCTCAAACACAGTAGGTACATAAACTTCAGGGAATTGATCTTTGGAAAACACAATGAGCAGACAAGTTTTTCCGCAGGCACCGTCGCCGACGATGACAAGTTTCTTACGGATTGCTGCCATTATGTCGGAATGTTATGCTTATCAAAAAAAAAAAAAAAAACTAGGCGTTGGCCCTGTTTCGAATTTTAACTAGAAAATCAATCACAAATACACAGTTATTCACAATAATTAAATAAAAACAATAATTTTAAACGAAGTATAAATTATTACAAGTAAGCAATTAACTGAATAGTAAAACTAATAAAAAAATGTCGAGCGAATTACAGAGAGAAATGTGAATGAGCTCATCGCGATCGCCAATTATTGGATAATTTATCATTACTGATATTCGGGGAATCCATTGCTTAATCTAAACGACATTATGCCTAATTCACGTTGTTTCCACTCAAACGCTAAACGTGGGCAGTCGTCGTATAGTAGCAGTAAACAGTAGGTAGCAGCAGCTGTTAAACAGTAATAAAACAAAAACTCAATGTCATTTATAGGTTTATAGCTACTCATTACGGACCAGAAATAATGTAAAAAAAAAACGCTTAATATTAAAATACAGTAATTGACTTTTTTCAATTCAAGTATTAATTCATAATTTTTATTTTAAAAAATACAATAAGGCTCAGGTACGCTATTTAACTAAACTATTTATCTCGATTTAATTTATAAAAAAAAATCCATAATATATACTATTGTACATAGATTGATTTTCTGACAAGTTAATGTATTTTAATAGCAATATCATCATTTATCAAGTTAGCGAAGAAGGTAATATAAATAAATTATAATAAAACCAAAGAATACAATAATCACTAAATATTAATACCAACCTGTAATAATTATAAATTATAATATTTAATTTTTAATAATAAAACAATAAATGCCATTACCTATAAGTACTACCTATCTAAAACATTAACATTTTTTATAGTTTTATGTAATGTACCTATAATAATATGGAATCACGAAAAAATATTTTAGATGTATCTAGGTACAATTGGATTGAAATTTTGATATTTTATGATATGTGTACATTATCATTATTTTTTATGCATAGTGGTTTCAGTAATAATTAATAATTGAGGTAATTTTAATGAAACATAATAATTTTTTAATATTCATAAATCATATTATGGCTCACAGCGTTATAATGACAGATGAAGTAACTGTGCTCAGCTAATGCTGATATTATATAGGATAATATACAGCTACACTCAGCTACACTTAAAAGACATCAATAACTGACCATCTCTGTTATCTGAGTTCAATAACATTGCTTTCAATATATCAATAGCGTACTTTATATCGAATACATTTTTATTTTAGTACCTAAATAATACATAAAAAGAGATGAGGTAGTGGATACTTACCTAATAGTTAATATGAAAGTATTTTGTATCTTTATGTACAAGTGCACAATATATTATAATTATAGACTAAAGTTTAGATTAGGAGTTAGTTTAATTTATTATCATAAATAGAGTCATTTTACTAAGAGATATAAATAATAATGTCGATATCGATGTCGGGTAAATTGGTCTTATCGAGGCTCACTAGTCACTGTTAGACCAAAGAGGACTAAAATTCTTTACTGTAATAGTTTGTAATTTAGCTTTATGTAAATCATTATAAAATGTAACGTTTGTGAAATTATTTGTCCATATATATTTTATATTACATTAAACTGCATAAATATTTTATTATTATTGTGTGAATAATTAAATTTAAAAAACCGTAATCGGTATGTCTAAGAGCAGAATCAGCAGGAAAATATACTGATTTGATGAATTAAGTTAACAATAAAAATAATATGTTTTTTTTTTACATTTTGAAACGAGGACTGAGGATGGCACAGCAGTGGCGGCTCGTGGTATTCAAAGTGGGTTGTGTGCAATTCTTTCAAAAGTTTATTAGAAAAAAAAATTAAGTCTTTATCTAAAATATTATTATAGTACGATATGTATTGAAATATTTATACAAGGTTTTAAAAAATAATTTATATACCTACGAATATAATACCTAATAATATGCGTAAATTATTATCTAATATAAATTGTATTAATAATAATAAAAAAAAAATTAAACATTTTATGCACGAATTCAAGTTTTTTTCCCTATAAAATAACCGATATGGAACACTGTGGCTATCGTAGACCGCTGTACACCACGGTCCCATTAATTTTCGTCAACCCCCCACTAAATGGTCAAACAAATTTACATAGACAAGCGGTGTTCTGACTGAGTTGCTCACCAAATGATGTGTATTTATTACATAACTTCAATAAATTGTAGGAGTAATATTTTCAGGTATAATATAAGTGAACATATATGTATTTTAAATTAATACATTATGATACAATAAATTATTATAGTTAAACTAAATTGTATAAAAATTGTGTAAGAAATCCATTTTTACTATTTTATCTGTATTAATTTGTGGTGTGCGCACACTTACACATCTAGGCACGAGCTGCTATATTGTGGCACAGACATTAGTCAATTCATCCCCCCCCCACAATCTTAGTTTATTAAATAAACAACTATATATTTAAAATTAATAAGTATATCATTGAATCTGGATCTTTAACTTTCCCCTAGTATTTTGACCTTTGGCTTATAACAAAGTTTCCTTCTTAACTATACTCTATAAGGTCTTCTTCTGGAGGATTTAATGTACGGACTTTACTATGAAGTTGTTGATGATGATCCAAATTTATAAAAAAAAATATTTGTATAAATATATAATTTTAATGCTTTAATAGAAATTGAGACAATTTTTTGTATTTAATATAAAAATAAAACGGGAAAAGAAGCAGGGACACTCTCAGGGAAGCAAATGCATTTTAAAAGGATAAAAAACATTAATCAAATTAATAAGAACTGCAAAACTTTTTAATGTAACAATATTGTAATCAATCTAACAATAATAATTGACAAAAATATAACAGTAATCAATACGTAAAGCGTAAATATATGTAACTATATATTTTTCACTCTATCTAAATAAATTATTATATTAGGTTGGTGGAACAACAAATATTTTATAATTTACGTAGGTAGTTAAAATAAGGACACTATATATTATCATAAAATTATTTTAAGTAACAATATTAATTAAATTATAATATCAATCATTTTTATATGGTATATATACTACTCTCCTATACATAATAGATAATCACTATACAACTATTTTTTAGCATTTAAATAATTAAATTACAATATAAAAGAATACCTACTTTGATAAATAATTAAAATAGTAGATGCGCAAACTTAACTAAAATTTAAATATCTATACATTAATATACCTACATAAAAATATATAATATTTTTTTCAAGTTTAATAAGTAATAACTATCAAAATATCCATTATGTTAATTAATTCAACAAGATTCTAAAATAAGATTTTGTTTTGATGTATTATTTATCCAAATTGTTATGAAAATTAAATTATGTCTAAAAAATGTTAATATAAACCCTTGGTGAAAATTTCAAGTTTTTATGGTTATTTATGTTTTTGAATTATTACAAAATAAATAAATACATTTTGTTGTAATTTAATTTAGTATAAACATTTTTTTATTTTTCCCCAATTATTAAGAACAATACTAGGAGTTTTTTTACTTTTGGTTTCTAAAGTATAAACTAGATTTAATATTCTATTATAGAAACCACTCCCAAAGTCATAAATCGAAGCATTTTTACTGCTTCAGAGGGGATGACAGACCAAAAAAAAACCTTTATTGTAAAATCATTAGGAACATTCATCACTCCACTTAAAATCTAAAATATAACTTTTATGACGGATTGCATAAAAAATTTAACGGTTTACTAAAATTAAATGACTAATTGTGGTTCAACAAATCATATTTAAGTGATTATTATTGATTTATTAAATATTTAATGAATGTTTGTATGGACTCGGCATAATTATCATAGACTCAGAAATTATTATTAATTAATTATGCTAATGTTTCATAAAATTTCTCAATATTTTATTTTTTAGAAAATCTTCTCAAATCTAAATTTGTAATAAAATTTCTATTTTTTCCACAAAATGCCGAGCTTTCTAAATTTATGTAGCTACTAGCTAAGTAAAAATGTCAGATTTGGAGGTAAATTAGTTTTTATTTTCAGGTAAAAAGGTTATTTGTGTAAAAGCTTACATTTTGCTATTTTTTCAAGATACTGAGTATTAGATACTTACATATCTGATGACTATTTGTTAGGGAATTATATCATTATTAATAGAATTGGAGAATTGATATTCCGTGAAACTAGGAAAAATTATTTGGGCTAACTTAGATAATAGCATTTGTTTTAGTTATTATCCAAAGATTGAAACAGTTTTATAACTATTTTAAATAAGTTTAAAATAACTAGGTTTGAATTATGTCGAGCTCGCCTGTCGAGGTTATTTGAGATTGTGTGCTAGTATATCTTTAAAAAAATGTATAATACCTTTTTTAGTTTTTATTTTTTTCATAAAATCTATATAAAATTTGGTATAATAAGCATGAGTAAGTTTAAAGGCCTAGGCTATGTAGTCGTGGATAGAGAAATTGTCCACTGGTAATATTTTGATTTGTAAATATTATAATTGAGGTTAGTAAATGAGTAGGTCACGACAATATTTCCTTTTCAAATTTTTTGGATGGTTTTCTGAGATTGAATTGGAAAGATTTTTTGCTAGAATGTTTGGATGTTCGGGAAGTGAGTTGTGGTAACGTTTGTAAGAATTAGAGGCAGTTTCTAATACTGTTGGTAATTTTAGGTTGGAGTATAGCGTTTGATTCGAAATGTAGAAAGGGGTTTTTATATTAAACGTAGTGTTTTATTTTGGAATATTTTGTTTTTTTTATTGCTTGATAATTTGCTGAGCCCTGGATTTTGACACCGTACGACTAAATTGATATTAGCAAACTTTTTATAAATTTAGTTTGATGTTGATTGAGAGTTTTGATTTTATATTTAGGAGGTAAATGAGGATTCGAAGACGAGAGTTCAGTTTGAGTTTAGTGGTGTGTTTATGGTAGCACCTTGTTAGTTTTTTGTCGAAGTAGACACCGAAATATTTTGTGGTTAGAGTGATAGATATTTGGATATTATTCAAGGTAACTCAAGAACAGATACCTTGTTTTAGTGTAAATATAATGTAGCTGAAATTGGATTAATTAATTTTGACTTTCTAGTTTTTATACTAGATTTCAATTTTGATAAGATGGGATTGAAGCATATTTGATGCAGTGATAGGATTTTCGTGAGTCGAAATGATCGTTTTGTCGTTATTTTGCAATATAGATGTTAATAAAAATAAGTTGGTCCGCAGTAAATATGTTGAAGAGAAGAGAGGCTATAATTCATCTTGAGAAACTCAGACATGTATTTTATAGAGTACAAATAGTGAAGAGCGGTAACGGACAGTGAACTGATGATGGTCAATTAAGTAGGATTTGAGGAGTAAATAAAAGGTAGGAGGTAAAATTTTTTTTATTTTAAAAAGGTGACCATCATCCCATACACGGTCAAAGGTCTATGTGACATCAATAAATTCTGAGGTGCAATGTCGCTTTTTCTTTAATGATATAACTATTATGTCTATTATTCTTTTTATTTGGTAGACTGTAGCGTGACGGTTACGAAAGCTAAACTGTATTTCAGTATAATTTTGGAATTGTTTATGATAGGAGTTATTCTATTAAAGATAAGTTTTTCAAGAACTTTCAAGAAGAATATATAAAACATAAATGATATTTTTAATTCTGATTAAACTACAAAAATAATTTTTTTTTTTTTAAATTTATTTTACTGTTTAAAAAATTCAACATTAATTGTAATGTTAACTTGTATATTATTTCATAAGATAAAAATAAGTATATTAAATTATTTTTCAATTTTTTTTTTGTTTTGTTTTATTTGTAATTAGTAGTATCTACCTAATATTTATATTTTTATTACACATTAAAAAATAAATGTAAGATGCATTATAGAGACTTCATATTTTTATTTTAGTACCTATTATCAAAAAAATAGTAAATACAGATATATAATCAATATTATATTTTAATATAGGATTTTTATTTATTTAAACATTTAATTCTATAATTATTTTTTACGAGACTACATAATTTGCTAAAGTAGAACTAATCGATTATTATATTGTATCATATATATTAGTATATTCTATATGCAGCTATAGCCAATAAGTTATAGCGGTATAAAAAAAAACCTGTACTTAGTCAAAATAAAATAAACAGAATAAATAGATATAATTTGTGTATTTTATTTATTCAATACAAATTAAAAACACATTTATAGGTAATAGTACTTTTTAACTTCTAAAATATAAAATATGTGAGAGGTAAGAAAATATTTAAGTATGAGGAATTATAATTTATTTTATATTTAACATAAAATACATATTATAATATTGTATAAATATAGTTGAAATCATTAGATTAGTAATTCATGTTTTCAATAAGCCTTGGAAAACGAAAGGAGGCAAATTTGTTCTACGATTACATGGTCTTAGTAATAATTCTTCCCCAGTCTTAGTAATTGGCATTTTTCGATGATAGTTGACTAATTCACCTAAAAAAGGTATAATGTTGATGTAATATATAATAAACTAGTGTACTGCAAAAGACTGTATGATTAAGTTGGTACATAAAAATTGTAAATATACGTAAGCTTAATATAATAATTAATAATTCTGATAAAATTGTATATTTTATAGTTATATATTCCAAATTAATCAATTCAGTAATATTTGAATAATTAAATAAAAAGTTATAACCACGAACTAAGATATATATATATAGATCTATAATACATCTTAGTTCGTGGTTTTAACAACTTAAATATGTTAATTATGTGTATTGTTAACATTATTTATAGTCTATAGATGTAAAAATGTATTGTATCATATCGTTAATACATACTTTATTGTTATTATTATTATTTTTTTTAAACCGTTTTTAGAACATAATAAGACAAAAAATGCATAAAAAATTTCATGTAGTATATTTATATACGGAAATAGAGTTTGGTAGATACTTTGAAAAAGTTACCGTTATTTAAATTTTCTCAATAATTTTTCAATTAGCGCTGAAAAATCTATTGACAACCATTAAAAATATTAACCGTGATATTTACTGATCTCTGTTCCAAATTTTTTTTTCAATGTTGATATTGAGTAATGATTAATGACTAATTTAACATTCAATTTTTAATTTAATATTACAATACATATACTATCCTAGGAGTATTTAACATTGAACATAGTAAAAGAAATCCTAGCTATATAATTTAATATTCTTAATAATATTATTAATAATTGTTATAAAATTCTTAAATCAATGTAGAGTATAATAATTTATAGATATATAATTATTTAAAATTTGTTTACTAATTTATTTTATAGAAACACTACTTATTATTAAATTTCAATACAAATTAAAAATAGTTAAGTGCATAATGTATTATTTTGAAAAATCCAAACAGGATGTGTTGGCTACCACTCATCAAATTTGGTAAATCATTATGACGCAGGATATAAAAATAATGATGAAGGTAGGTATTTACTATAAAATATTATAATAAATTTGAATGTAAAAATAAATCGGATAACATTGAATTGAGTCTCGAAAATACTTTTGGGTTATCGGAGATGAGTCCGACCAATATTGTTAGGTTATTCGAGTTGAGTCATTTTAGTTATATAAAAACAATGCGTTTAAATTTTTAGTTATAATAATTTGAAATAACTTACTTAGTGTGTTGTGAGATATTTGATTAGTCCCTAAAAACTGATAATGACCATTAGATGCATCTACCAAATAATGTTTGCAACATTCGTGATCTTTGTATGTGATGGCGTAGCCCCAAATTCGTTCGGATAAACGAACTAAAAAACTACCCATTGGTTCGTTGTTGAGTAAGATCTCTGCTTCTTGTCGTGTTATAAGACCTAATATTTATTAATATAAATTATTTAATTAGAAAAAAGTTACTCATATATATTTACTAGCATAATATATTATATTGCTATTTAAAAATTAGTTAGGCATACCGTGGAACCAAGTGGCTATGGCATTTTTATCTTTTTCAAATCCAGCTCTTCTAGGTATTTCTTTTGCTCTAAACCATTCAACAACAGCTTTTTTACTTGGCGGCTTGGACGAATTAGATACAAACATTACACTAAAAATATTTATTTTCACTTTATATCTATATGCATTACATCATATATTGTTTTTGCTTTGAATATGAAAATACATTCTACATGATACCTACTTAGAAGATTTTTCTGTAGTATTTAGAAGTGATCTTCTATGTTCTTCTCTAGCTTGACGTGCAATTTGTCGAATTTGTAATTCAACTTCTTTAGCTTTTTGCTCTAAAAATATTTAAATTTGAATTATTATGAATATTTTTTAACTAACAACTATAACAAGTAGCAAGTATTTTAAAAAATATTCTACTATTAATTTATAAAATTAGATGTTTTAATATAAATTTACAAAAAAAAATATTTTTATTTTTTTTAATGCAGTTTATATTTATATTAATCGTGTTTTTGAAAAAATTAAACTTATTACATAATATACTATATATATAACCTTATCTTTATTATTGCAAATTTATTGTTCTTTGTTATGACTATAAATATTACCTACATAACATTTAAATTACAAATAAATTATATAGGACTTCTAAACAAATTTTAAATTAAAATTTCAGATTTTGATAGGCATCTATTTATTTTTTATCTTATACAATTTAATGTAACTTTTTTTACCAGAATTTGGTTATTTTTTTAAACTATTTAAGGGGATACATTAGAGAAAATATTAAAACACAATTATAGTTAATATACAAGTATTTAATTTATTTTAAATAATTTTTTTATTTTTAAACTACCTAATTAGACATATTAAACAATCAAGTCTACTAATAATTACGTATTTCGAATTTATCTCCAATAACAGCCAAAGTTAACGATTTAAGTAAATATAATATATAAATTAATATGATATAATATAGTTTTGTGTAATTAATGTTTTAGTTAAACGATGCACTTGGGGATCCAAGTAAATATCAATCTAGTACCTATATGGAAGTTAATAAACATTCTAAAATAATTTAATATTAAATTATATTAACACTAATACAAATTATTATACTAAAAAAGACTAGAGGTATCTAAACTTAACACAGAACGACTTATATTGGAAAATTTTTAAATTTTGTTTAACAATTACTGATTTTTTTTATGTTTTGTTGTTGATTGCTATCTACGAAAACTTTTAGGCTAGCATAACGATAATAATAGACGTTGATCAATGGTAAAACTTAATTCAAATATCGACCAATTGTCTTAATATACAATTTAGGTATAAAGTTACATGGAAAATACTGAATCTTGTACTTATAGTTATACATAAAATATACCTTTTCTGTATATACTTATTTATTTATTTTATAGTAATTTTATATTAAATATTTGTACCTATTATAATAATATTATATGTTATATATATTTCAAAAACTTAAAATGTCGCAGTGTTCCGCCAAAAATACATTCACGACCCACAGTTTGGAAACTTCGTACGTAGACTATAGGTAGTTATATTAGAATTATTTGTCTTTAATTCATTTTCGCGCGCAAATTATATTTTATACATTCATATACTTCTTAGTTGTAACTTATAACTAATAAGTAATAATTAATAATAATTAGTATTATTTAGAAGATAATGTTTTATAATATTGTATAGTTGATACTGAGTATAATAACTTAATTCCAGCAAATTTAATATATCATTTGTTTTTTTTTTTTAATATTATTTATACATGAGTATTTTTATTTTTACATTGTTTAAATTAAACAAATTTCAAGGTTTTTAGCATTTTTTAAATCATTTTTATAATCATATAATATTATGAATACAAATAATGTTTAATAAATATAATATTATTCTGTTACTTTTAAAGCTATTTTATGTATCTAACTTATCACTTCTTCAGTATTCACTACTCAGTATAATCAATACTTATAAGTATTAAAGATTATAGTAACTAGTCATAAGTTAAAAAAACTATAGCATCTTATTTATTTCTATGGTTTATTAGAAAAGTAAAAATAAAATCGATGAGCGTAATATGTGAATGAACAGATAAATATTTTAATTGTATTATAAATTAATATTGTTATTTGTTACGTTTTGCTTAGTGCTTACTCTGTTCTCTCCAAACAATTTCTTGCTTTTTATCTGCTTCTTCGGCCTGTCTTTCTTCTTCTTCTTTTTTATTTTTCATTTTGTTATAGATTTCCGATGTCCGTTCTTCCATTACTCTCTGTTCCCAATTTCTCACACGCTCAGACACCTGTACAACAGTTCAATGAACTTTATGTTCAAGGGCTCATCGAACGATTAGTTCCACTCATAGGTATATACGATATACAATTAGTAATACAAAACATACACAATATGATCAGAAGGTTGCATTATATATCATATATTATGTTATGTCGTATAATGCTAAATATCATTCATATAAAGTCTCGTAGACTTAGGTTATTTTATTATTATGAAATATACTATAAATTAAATACTTTATTGAATGACAGTTCTTTTAAGGCACCACGTATTGGTTGTGTGGTCACACATGGTTTTTTTGCATTTCTAGTGTTCAGATCTTCTACGGAACAGTAAATCTCTTCAGTCGCATGTGAATATTTATTCTCAGGTGGATTAAATTGAGTCTTTGCTTTGCTTTCCAACATTGCCATTAATTCAGATTCTACTTTTAATCTAAGCAATAAAAATATAAAATAAATGTTAGTATAGTTTAATTGATTTTGATATTTGTATTATAGTCTAATTTATTTAAACTAAAAATTGATAATATAAGTCACTATTATTTATAATTATTAATAAATGTTGATATGCCATGTATTATATTATAAACTATAGTAGTTTATAATCATAAAAATATTTATAGTATTTTAAAATGTGTTTAGTTGAATTATTAACTATTTTTTAGATAATGGTCATGAATATCAATATAAAATTGTATTTATTGTTACTTTTATTGAACAATTTATAATTAAATTGATATAGTTTTTTTTTTTTTAGTAATATATTAATATCATCACTTTTACATTATTCAACCCTTCTCTAAAAATATATATGTTATTACCCTGATTCTTTTTATATATTAATGAAAACAAACCGCAATTGTTCAGTCTCGTGTTCTGCTTGTAGTCTTGCAGCTTCTCTAGCCTCTTCTTCGATTATTTGCTCAATAGTCTTATCATCCTTATGCTCACCCATGATCCATGTCCAAGGATCACCATTAGCATCTAACATCCATTGTACTTTTTTATTATCTAAAAAAAATCCAGTTAATTAAAAATCAATTTATTATACATGATTTTTTATCTTAATATCTGTTCATTGAATTTTACTTTTTTGTCGCTTTGGATATGCAGGCTTGATACTTTCGTTATGATCCCAAATACTCCAGCGTCTAACTTGCTCTTCACGCATTCTACAAAACAGAGTTTGTTTTTGCGTTTCGTCTAATTCCGCCAACAGCTCTGGATCAACATACATGTCTTTGAGAATCTGTTGAAGCATGGTGAATCTAAAATTTTAAAATAAGTCATTAAGATGGCCTGTTTAATAGTTTTTTAATATAGTATATTGCTAGTTAAACCATAGATAATTGATTTTAGTTATGTACGTACACGTACATTTAATTAATTTTATTTTTATCACGCACCGTTTGCCAACTTGGAGTGAAAGTAAACCTACTGTATCTATATTTTTATATATTTTTAATTTTAGATTGCCAAATTATAAAACTGTCTTTTTTTTAATATCATTAAATATAGATTAATAACAACTATTTTATATTATATTATTATAATTATTAAAAACCAACTACGTCTTGCCTAAAGTTGTCTTTTATATATTAATTTATTTTATATATAGCCATATAAATCATTATATTATAATAATTATCACATGTTTTACTAATAAAATGCAATTATAAGTAATTTTAAATAGTTTTAACCAATTACCAACTTTGGGTATAAATATAATATAAATTAAGAATTATTATCGATTTAGTGTTATAGCCAGCTGCTGTTTATTTTAATTAAATATGTGTAGGGTTAATGAGTACAAAATTCATTTCTGTTCTGCTCAGCTGAAGATAACGTGTTTAGAAGATAATAATTCTATAATGAAGTTTTAAATCATTTACGCAATTGTATTATTATTTATTGTTACATAGAGAAAGTAACTTGTATCAGTTGTATCTACGAAAATATGTACTTATGTTATATTGCTATGTTTATTTGGTTATTGCTGAATCTTCAAAAATTAAAAAAAATCTAGTTTGTTTCAGTTTATTACCATATATATATATATATATATATAACTAATATTTATTAATACTTTATTAATGCACACAATTAATATGTTGGTACAAAAATTATATTAATACATCAGTAATGTAGAAATTTAAATTTACACAATTTATAATTCGTATCAAAAAACATAACGTTTAGTATTAATATAACCTATAGCACCCCTAAATTAATGTATGTCTTTTGCTATCAACATAATATTATAAATGTATATATGTAATGGAAAATTTCAGCCAGAAATTGTATTCTATATACAGAACCTATTCATCTGGAATATAGAATAGTTTTTTGTATTCAATATACCTATATGGCTATATACTCGGCTATACTTTTACGTATATAGACTTCAGTAGAATTATAATTCAGTAATATTTTTAATATACTTATACTTTTTAAAAATATATACCTAATAATATGATATTAGGTATATTATACTATATTCGGTATATAATATATATATTATGGGTAATATATTTATTATGTGCTATTCAACCAGGGTCACTTCCGCGTCAATATTTTAGTAGGTACTTATATAGAAAGCGTGTCAGGGCTAATAAATAGGAGCTTAAAGGTCCAAAGAAAAATTACACAGTATTTACGTCATTATTCTTTATTGATAGTTTCTATATTTATCCCATTGTTACACTTTAAAACTGAAATAATCAGTTATTTATATTGACGGGTCTATAACGTACTTGATTACACACGAATGCGACGGATACGTCATACGTCTGCTGTCATGTTTCAAATATTATGGGTATCTACCTTTTTTTTTTGTTTTGTTAAGAAAGTGAATATTTGCTGTGTTGTACAATCAATTTAATATATATATATATATATATATATATATATATATCAAATAAATACATATAAAATAAGATACATTGATTGAATGGATAAACTGAAGGGGGTGTTCATTACCATTACTTCAATTTTTTTTTTTGTCTAGGAAGATGGGTTTAAATATTAAGAAAGTATCTTAATCATTTATAGTTGGCTTATTTATTAAATAACCAATCACAGATAATATTATATTTCTTGTGTAGAGCGTATAGTTACCCAATAACGTAAAAAAATATATATATAAACAGGAATATTTTACAAAACCAGTCGTCTTTAGTTGTAACTGTTGTAATTATATAATGAATACCGTAGAGACTTGACATTTTTACCAAATATTTATATTAACATTTTCTACATATGATTTAATTTTCACTGTCGACTTTTTTATGCTATTTATAAACTTTATAAGTTTTTTATCTTTTTTTCGATTTATGTATAAAAAAAAATTTGTTAGTCAAACAGCTAGAAAATTTAATATTTAATTCCTTATAAGCTTTTTGTATAACTATTATAAAATATCGAAAATACATAGTCACAACTATTAAATAAACATTTGAAACTAAAAGTTGACAAAATTAGATATTTAAAAATAAATTAATGATTTTTTTATGAGGTTGTTATTAGAAAATATTAACTGTAGGAACTTGAATCTTATCTTATTCATTACGTTTATTGTTATTTTCTGTACTTACATAATAAAATTTCAAAAATATTTAGAGAAATTTGAACTATGTTTATTACGAATCCGTTTATACTGTTTTACAGTATGTGTTATTTATTTTTAAGTTCATCAGAATTCTATATATAATATGATAGAATTTTTTTTCTTTATTTTTCTTTATGTACAAGTGTTAATCGAAATCTTCAGATTTTTTAAAATTTTTTATGTTCATCAGTACTTTTTAAATAATCACACTCTTCGTTATAAAATATTCAAATCTTCAAATCCTAACTTAAACCAAATTTTTTCTCTTCCTCTCTTTTGTATCAATCAGTGCATCAGTTATATCCTATAATTATTACTCTATCTCTAACAACAATACATCCTAGGTTTTTGATAATAATTAGTTTAACATTTCATGTTACTAATAGAAAAATAAATAAATTATAGTAATAATATAAATTAAAAATTAAAAAACACATCGTCTCAGTTTAGAATCGTTTATCGTATGCAATGATTTATCATTGAATTAAAATTTTATACTTATTTACTCAATCATGGGATACTTACTACTTACACTCAAAATATAAACGATACATAGCCGGACGAATTTCTCGTTTTTTTTTAACTATAAACTTTGATCTTGGTAAATGTATTATGTACAAGAAAATATATAAATTAATAAATAACGCAACTTATTAATTATATTTTAAAGCAATACCAAAAAAAATAATCATTACATAGAACACCTAGTTCTAAGTTTTTACACTCGATTGCGCATTAACATTTTAAATATATTAACACTTATAATAAGATGTGCAGTATAATCAAAATATTGCTATAGGTATATATAGTATGATATTAGATGATAATACTATCTACGTTGTGTTATATTATGACTATTAATGTGGATGAAAGTAACATATATTGTTAAATTTATGATGAGTATGAATCCACGATAATGATTTATTATAAATATATTATATATTTATGGCTATTATACTATAACCTATATTTTATACGTATTATATGTAAATGCACACAAAAGTCAAAACGCATATCTACATAAGTTTTTGTTTCATATGACGTACAATGTTACGTCTGTTATGAATACGTTGTACATTCATTGCGGCTATATGCGTTGCATTTTTTATTATCGAAAAGAAGGAAAAAAATACGAATAACAATAAACATTTACAATATATATATATATTATATAGAAGGATATTATAACTTATAAAATACGTGTAATAAATAAATAATATAATACAATTGTTAATTTTTAGGTGTGATACTGTGATGACTAAATATCAGAATATTATATCAAGTAGTTTATGACGTTAGTCATAAGTAAACAAAATCATTTACATTTTTCTTTCCATTCGTATATTTGAACGACACGTATTGTATATATAAATACTGGAGTGAGAAATGGATAAACCAAAATATAGAGAATGTATTTCATGTATTGTGATATAATCGTACAAACGTCATACGTCGAAACAAATAATATTTGGCTGAATAACAATTACTTGTAACAGCTATAACAAGCAAGCACATGGAATATGAAATAGTAAATATGGAACGAGATTTATAAGTATCTCGCGAAATGCTTACCAGCTATCACTGTTAGCTATGATTATTAAACTGTGTAGGACTTCGAGTTTCTAAAAAGCTGTCGCAGGTGTAATAATGGAAAATAGTACCTACGTTCTTACCGTTGGTTATCGTTTGCGCAATGTCTGTTTACCTACACCAAAATATCATACATCATTTGCGCATCAATATGTCAAACAATAGAATAGTATAAAAATATTGACAAGTAAATAAGTTAAAGGTATATTTTATATGCTAGAAGAAGTTTTAATAAAAAAAAATTGGATAAATTTCATAATTAAATATTCATAATAATTTATGTAATATATATTTATATATCGGGTAGTTCAAATAACGCAAGAAAACTTAAAGCTATTAACACTTTTGAAAGTATTTTTTAATTAATTTTAAATCGTTGAAAACAATATTTTTTCTATGTTTTTATTTTTATCATTTTTAATTTTAAAAAGAAAACATGTATTTATAATTACTTATTCCAAAGTTTCAAAGCAGAATATGTTTTGGAGTCCTTCGATGTATAAAAATTAAATTTCGGATGAGTATAGTAAGAGTTATTAAGTTTTTTAAACTTAGATGTACACCATGGAGTGGTATAGGGATACTTTGCAAATATTGATTAACTACTTTAATTATATAAACTGTAAATAATTAAAATTAATAAATTATACTAATTATCCGAAATTTGATCTTTTCCAACGAAATATTTTGAATAATATTCTGCTTTGGAGTATGAAATTAAAAAAAATGCATGTTATCATTCAAAATGGTTATCAACTTAAAAAACATAATTATTTTCTAAAATAATTATTTAACAACTTAGAATTATGTAAATGAAATATTTTTTAAAAATTTGTTTTTCTGAAATAATGAGTGTTTTACGTTAATTTAATTAACTTGTATTTGTATAAAATTAAAAACAAAATGACTCATTCAAACATATTTTAAATAATACTAATAATAGTCATAATTTTAATACATATACATATTGTGAGATATTTATATTACATTTATTTATTTGATAAAAATATTGATATATGGTTTTTACATGATTTTACTGACTGTGTGATGTTTTTCGGCTATTAATCGTTT